CGCTAATATTGAAAAGTGCCATTATTCAGGCACCACCAGGCGGAATAATATGCTTAAGTACCCACCAATAATAGCACAACAGGCAAATATCGATCAAGCGTTAAAGTAAAGCGCATAAACAAAGCTACTCAGTCGTGCGTACCTCTAATAACAAAGGCGTTTTTTTTTTTCCATTTAGAGAAGAGCAAGTTCAAGTACTAAAGTCAAGTACTAAAGTCAACTTAACTGTTACAAGAATACATAAAGCCGTTCAAATCGCCCTCCGTGCTCCTGAATAAGGACAAACAGCCGTTTAAAATTCAGTGGACTTTCTAGCGCGTGCACTCGAATTCGATGCAATGTGACACCTTCTCATCGATAATGACGCACAAGGGCTAATGGGATACCTGACTAATCCTCCTGTCGTCGGAGCGAAACGTCAGCTTTTGTAATCGTTACGGTGGCCAATTTACCATTTCAACTTTGTTGATATATCCAAATTAGTAAGGTGAATAGCTAATAAAGACATATGCGGGAGTATATGTCCGTGTATTCGTTTGGTCTAATGGTAGTCCACAATATGTCAGACAAAAGTAAAGCAACAAGATGAGTGGCGACTCTCTGGATGAAATGCTAGTCTAACATAGGTCTTCTTGGCAGTTCTTTGGTCCCGAGTTGCTCACCTGAGTGGAGAGGGAAACCGCGAGAACTGAGTGTCTTACTTAGAACGCAACTCCATGACCCGGCTCGAACCTCCCGTTTCACAACATTTCTCCCTCCCTTCCCTCCCTATTTATTTTCGTAGTTTAGATGTAACGCACAACTGTCATGCAACATCAGAGCCTCTCCTACAGATAATTTGTCCATTCCTGTTTATACCCCGGATGGAGAAGGGCATTTTAGGAGAAGAGTATATAGTGATTGTGTAATGGGAGGCTGGGTCGCAAGGCGAAATCCGAATACAAGAGCCCGCTCGCGGGCTCAACAGACGGCGATAGGAGGTCTTCAGAGGTTACTAGCGGTAGTCTGCTGGTAACCCGCTTTTACTGAAAACTCTGCAATGGTATACCTTTTTTGTTTTCAGCACTATTTGTGTGATCCAGGAATTCCCCTTCCCAAGATGGAGGTGACGTTTTCAATGCATCGACTCAGCAGAATAGAAGCGGAATGCAAACTTTACATGACTGAGATACAAAAAATGCATCGGCAACTTCAAGAGCAACGAGAAAATGAGGTAAGCATATGAAAGAGTCATCGTTTCTTTGGCACCTCCTCTTGGTTTTTCCTTAAGTGCAAATGCGCGTCAGGGAAGCAGTGTTTGGTTGAAAAAAAAAAAAAAAAAAAAAAAACCCAAACGCGACGCAAAATGGCAAGAAGAACGCGTCTTCTATATGAACATGGTACACGTGTTAGTCTATTTTACTACTGATTTAATTCAAACGGGAGTCGATCTGCAAAAGCCTCTTTTCTTTCTTAAGTTTTTTGACGCCATCTTTAAAACATCAAAACCTGACAATATTGGAATCCCATATCATATCACTGTGCAATGCAGTAGGTCGTGTGCTAAAATACTAGATTGTTCTCTCGGAATTTAAAACAATAGTAAGCGTGGATCCTCCAACTCTTTTTTTGGACTCTTAACCTTCAGAAGAACTCGCAGAGGAAAATTTTTGGAGAGAACCTTGTTAATAAAAATTGTAGGAGTATATTGTAATTGATATAGTCATTTATGATAGTCTAATTTCGAAATGATTGTCTTATTTTCTCAGAGAAAAGTCATTGAGGACGAAAGGGAACGCGAGATTGTAGAGGAGCGTGAAAGGGCTGCAAAAGCGTTGGCGGAGATTACAGGTTGGTTACATAAAGCTGCATTTCTATTGCACCGCGACACGAGAGTTCCTTAACCCGTTAAAATGTTCGAGTCCTTGAGTTAAGCGAGCTGGCGAGAGGTCTGTATGGGGTCTGGCACTAATCATTATTAGTGCCAGACCCCCGACAAACCTCTCCACGACTCGTTTTAAATCCTCCCGCGGGCGAAAAAACGCGTGCCCCGCAGCACTAGTAATAAGAGCCCGCACTTAAGCTACGATCGCTGAGAAGAACTAATGGATATCAACACTTTGTTCCCAATAGAGCTTATTCAGAAGGCGAAAGAGGCAGTTGAGGTGAAGAAGCGAGAAGACTTGAATATGTTAAAAGAACAAATGGAGGAGGCGTTTAAGGTTTGGTGACGCTGATCATATTTAAAGTTTTCCAGTAAACACCAAGGCAGTCTTGTTTGTAGTGATAATTAAGAGGTTGATCATGATAAGACCTTTACTTCATACGTCGAGTTTAGTTCGTTTAATCAGGTTGGGATGAACAACATTTAGAAACCTTTGGCGAAAATACAGGGTTCCCTCTGATCTGATTAGTGTGGCGCCATGAAAAGCATCACTTAGTGGGTGGGCGTGTCGTGTGGTGGATATGACCCACCCTCCCTCCCCCCAAGGAAAGTGTGATCAAGGTGATGATACAGATTCCCCTCATCACTTGAAATTCCTTTTCGTGCCAGGCCCCTCGTAGACGCCACACGCTCACATTAATTGCCTTCTCGAATCTCGCGGGCTCGAGTTTCATGCCCAGTGGCTCATCCGCCGTCGATAACCCGTTCTCAGGCTACTTTTTCTGCCATATCTTCAGCCTCACTGAGGTAAGTTCACAAACGAGACGGAACACAGGCAGTAACTTTCCAAATTGTATTGCCTTTTACAGCATAGAGCCTTAGCAAGAGAACAAGAGAAGGAAGAAGACATTAAACGTTTACAAGAAGTGAAAGACAAGGAGGTTACTACAGCAACAGTTGAAGATGAGATGAAGAACAAGGCGAGGTACTGAGACTTTCCATATCTTTTCTCTTTTTCCAAGTGTTTCTCTCGGCGTCGTAACGATTTAAAGCTAAGTGGTCGTCACTGTGAGATCTTGTAGTTCGTGAAGTCTGCGACAGCCAATCGGATTAAAAGCGTTTTCCGAGCCAATCAGGTTTGAATAAAACGTGGTTGCAGTCTGTTTGAGTCACGTCATTTTCCTCGCGCTTGTAGCAATTCCCGCCTTTAGCATGATCGTGGTGGTTAATGAGATTTACGTGTTTGAAACTAGTTCTGTTGGTGTTAAGATGCAAATTACGCGAAATCGGTTTGCTTAAGAACTCACTAGAGTGGAATTGAAATCCTTTAGTCGCTACAAAATTCGAATTGATTTATTTCTCTTCACAGGGAAGAGCTCATCAAGTACTATGAGGAACTCAGCCGCGAGGTGGAGTACCGAGAGTTTCGTGCCCAGTGGGACATCCGCCGTCGGTTACTCGACTCTGCTAGAGCCCAGTTCCTGGTCCAGGAGCAGGCTCGGTTAGACAGCTTACAAGAGCAGTTGACACAAGCGTCTGGTACTAAGACCTTTGGTGAAATTACTAATGAAAGCGATGTACGGCATGAGAAAAAATTCGAAGAAAAGTCTGTTTTCAAAGAAGAAAGAGCTTCTACACCCATTTCAGCTCTGAGTCCAAGTCTTGTATCTCTTATAGCCAGTGGTGTAAAAACAGATGCCTTGGTGAGAGCAGAGCACACGAACTTGGGCGAAAGGACGCAGTTCCACAGGGAGGATGCATCACAAGCTGAGGAATCTGCTTTGGAAAACAAAGTCAGAAGGACTTGGGACAGCCCTGCCGAGAGTGCTGCCGAGCTAGGGAAGATGAGTGAAGCAGGTTCGGGCAGAAAAACATGGGAAGCCCCACCCGATGGCGAGGTGAAGATAGCTTCTTCTCTCCCGAAGAGTCATCCTTCGGATTCTTCCATACAATTTGCCATGTATAGCGACAAAGGAAAGGGTAGCGAAGAAAGCGAGACGCTAGGGTATGGCTTGCAGGAAGGTGATTTGAAAACGTGCGCTCCACACATTGGTGATTCATCTTTGCAAAACGTTTTATATCCCAGTACTCCCTCAGAGTCGACATCAGGCCTGGATGCTGAGTCTGTGAACATGGTAACCCGGCCTTCAGATTTGAGTGCGCGAGGCCTTGCTGCGAGTCATCCTTCGGATTCTTCAGCCCAAGACGTTTTATATGGCAGCGCAACGGGAGACGCGTCTGAAGTTCGGACGCCGTCGGCACAAGGACATCCATCCGATTCCACTGCCCAGCACCTCCTAAAAAGTGGTGCTAGCCATGGAGAAACCATTTCCGAGGCTCGCTCCTCCGAACATGGACATCCTAGTGACTCGTCTCTAAGCGGGTTGTTGTACCCCCATGCTTTGAACACGCCCAATTCCCAGACCCCTCGTCTCATCCAACACGGCCACCCTTCAGATTCCCAGGTATCTTTTTCACACGGCGATAGTGTATCCCAAGTTATCCAACACAGTTCCAGACAAAATTGGCAACACCCTTCGGACGCATCTATTCAGAAACTTCTGGGAGACATCGATGTCTTGGGAGAGAGCCAAAATACGACCCGTGGGATCCCTCCCTCGAGCGTGGCTCAAGATATTCTCTATCCTAAACCTGATGGACAATCAACGCCTTATACTCCACACACCAGTCGTACCGCATTGCAGAGTGAAGCACAGGATATTTTGTACCCAATGGAGGAAGATTCAGAACAATCAGACAGACCGGTACACACCCGTGGAGCCCCTCCCCAAAGTGTTATTCAGAACATTATGTACTCAAGTGGGGAGGGGGCAGTAGGAGAGGAGACGAGGCTATCAACTCGTGGCCAGGAACCTGCCGGGAAGATAAAGAATATTTTATATTACGTTAAAGAGAAAGAAGGTGAGAGAGAGAAAGACGATATTCTGGCAATGTTTTGGATTTCCTTGCTTTTTAAAGAGGGGGGGGGGAGGAGGTTGCTGTCATCATTGGTTCTTACAGAGAGGGTTAGGTCAGGCGTTGCTGCATCAAAGCTCTAAGAGTGGAGTTTTCGCACTAATTTCTTTTAAGCTTTCTTGCTTATTTGCGAGTTACTCTTTTTTTAGTTATATCGGTGAAAATCTGATTTCTCATCTTGCCTGCCCATCTTCTTCTCCTCCTACAGCCAACTAGTCATGCCTACAATTTTTCCGATTATCGCGAGCTTTTCTGTCGACTATAGGCCAAAGTCACTCTGCACCACTGATTACTACAGGACTACCTTTTAGTTTACTGGCGATTTTGATTAAGTGTACGTGGACAATCCCATGATATGATATGATAGTATCTGTTATCGTGGTCACTTAACGTGAGTTTTGTAACGATTTGTTCAAGTCGATCAGGAATGTTCCATGCTAAGAGCGTGAAGTCTGAAAATATTTTGATTGTTGCCAACTCGCGAAATCTGTTTTTAGCCAAGTCTGAGAAATATGAAGAGATCTAAAAGTGTCTCATTCTTTTCTCTAAGCATTCGGGTCGATTATGGGGGTGGTTTTGGCATTTAAACCTTACAACAACTTTGTTTTGACAGGAGAAGTAGACTTACAGCCACAATTAAGGCAGTTGGAGTTTGAGGACGTTTGGTTAGCTTCCCAAGTGGAACCTCTTCAGGACAAGTTTGATGTATTGGGTAAGTCAGATGATCAGTCTTTAAAAGGGTAAGTTTTTTAAGAAACTGGGGTGCTGCGTCGGTGTGTGTGTGTGTATGTGTGTTTGTGTGTGTGTGTGTTTGGGGCGGTTTGGGGCGGTTTGAGTAATTTGGTTATATCAACTAAGCTGAAATTGTAAATTGGCCACAGTAAAGAGTTAAAAAGCTGACGTTTCGAGCGTTAGCCCGCTCTGACCAAGGGCAAATGCTCGAAAAGTCAGCTTTTAAGCTCTTTACGATGGCCAATTTACATTATCGACTTAGTTGATAAAACCAAATTATTCCGTACGTGAACAGGTACCGTTAGGAATAACTAAATAAAAATAGTTTTTCTCCAAAGAGTTATTTTCCCGCAAATATGGTAAATTTTTGAAACAATAGGGCTACGCGCTCGATAGTACTTAAGCAAGTTTCTTGTAAGGGTTTTTTGATCACATCCTTGCTAACATCCTTGATTTCATCTGGTATTACGAAGTTGAGTACACTAGAGGTCATGTCAATTGTTGGCCTGACCTAAAATAAGAGTTTACTGTGGAACCCGAACGCTGTCATCCTTCACGTTCGTAAAAGTTCACTCGAAGAGGTTGCCTGTACGAGGGAATCGTGACAAGTTCCCGTTCTCGCAGCTGAGTCGTCTCTACTAAGCTAATTCCCCCCGTTATTGTTGTGNAGGGCCTTTTCCCCTTTAGTTGAGGCCCTGGGGACGAGGTAGGGGTTTCAGTAAAAGCTGGTTACCAGAGACTACCGTCGCCTGTAAGACCTCTAACCGCCGTCTGTTGAGCCTGCGCGCAGACTCAAGTGTTTGTGTTTCGCCTTACGGCCCCCTTTTCGGATATTGCCACCTATTACACCATCGGCAGCCGCTCAGCGCTCAAAGTTATTAAAACCTCTGCTGTAAGCCTTCATCAGATTTAAAGCCAATTTTCGTCTTCGCGAAAAATTCTTGAATCGTCACAGTGTTGCCTATCTAATGATTACAGAATATAGTTGTATGCTCAATCGAGTGTCTAATGAAATCTGGGACTCCAATTGTGTTTTTTTCTACTTCACCTCACGCTGCGATTGGTTTAGAAAACTCGCGCTACCTTCGCGACCACTCAGATGCAAAACCAAAACAAATCACAAAGTTGCACCCGTGTTTTCCCGCGCTTTTACTTTCATTTTTATTGGCTTCTTGTAATACTTTCCTTTGCTATGATTGACTGTTAGAATACTTTAGTATTGGTTCCAGGCCCTCGATCGAAATGCGCTCAGCACTCATAACTTTAAGTTTCTTTATGTTTTTACGTAGTGATACAATTCATAACCGTGTTTTTACGTGGCGTTGTTCTATCATATTTATCTTATTTAGAAATGGGAACCCTGGATTTTCTAGAACTGCGGTACAGAGTAAGTAGCAGAGAAAAAATCACTTGGTTCTTCTGAGTCTTTTTCAAGTTGTCCACCGTATGTTTTTCTTCATTTGTTTTTATCTCAATTCATCAGGTAGATTGGCCCCTTAATATAGTCATCACAGAAAAGTCCGTCGTAAAATACAACAAGGTGAGAAATCATGTTTAATTTTAATTGAAAGAAATGAATTCTATCATTATATGGCAAGGTAGTCCTGAGGTAAATATGAGCGTTCTAATTGGTTCTTACTGGGTCCGTAGTTTGCCGTATAGACCGTTTCCTTGGAAACGATTAAAAGCTGTGTATTTTTGGCAGCGAAAGCCGGCAAATTCGAACTAAAAAAGTTTGGGTAAAATACCATATAATAAACTGCTTACTAACCCACTTTCTCGAGTCATTCTGGGGAATGTTGGTCCTCGGACTTTTTGTACGGACCTCGCTGCGCTTGGTGCGCACTGTCTCGACTTCGGGCCAAAAGTCCCCGTACGACTCTCACACTCGGTTAATAAGAAGAAAATAATGTATTATTTTGAACGGCCGGAAACGCTGATAAAGGAAAACAATTTTCGCAGAGCTACGCTCCATGTAGAAGTATATGTGGATGCGGACACTAGGACTGGGGTCTAATAGAACTCGAATGCCATAAACATAAATTTGCTTTTGAGAACTGTGCACCTCAGTTTTGAGATAAGAGCTTATAGGAACCTGAGTCTTCTCAGAGCACAACTTTGGGCGTTTGTGGGAGCTCTCTTTGTTGGTTTATAAACCCTTAACCCCTTAAGAGTGACTACTATCTAATTTCTTACCCCAAATCAATCATTAAGGTCACAAGAAACTCTTGATTTTCAACAAATTCTTCCTCTCAACACCTTAGGAAATGTATAGAGAACAGTATGGAGAATATGCATGCTGATATTAGGGCGTAAAGTGTTATCCGAACAAGAAGAAGAAGCCTAATTCCTAGAAACTGAGTTGCTGTTGAGGAACAGGAATAAATTGAGACGAAAAGGATGCAGAGTTGTTTTGAATATAGATGTGAGCTGTTAGAGGTGTTAAGCCTAGTAAGGAAATGTTGATGGAGAGCTTTAGGAATACTCTTTTGTTTCCTACAGATATTTTCCTTCATGTTGCGGCTAAAACGTCTTTCTTGGGTCCTGCGTGATATTTGGTTTCATTTGAAGCACGTTGGTAAGCTCTAAAAAGTGTGAATTACCGAATTACCTTTAGCCTCTTTTTCAAAGCGAGTCCTGGTTCTCATCCTTTCAAATGATAATACGTTTTCATTCCATGGTAATTAAACTCATTTTCACATGAATGGTCGAGCACCAGGCCTCGTTCTGAAAAAGAGGCCAAAGGTAACTCGGAAATGGCCTACTGAGCGTCCGATCGTAGATATTAGAGAGATTTAGCAAGAGGACGGGAACATCAGTTGACAACGGCGCGCGCAGCAAAAATACCGGTAAGAAACTGGGTCGAAAACGTCGCCCCGTTGTGTTTCAGAAGTGATTTAGCAGTCGTTGCAACAAGACTTCAGCACAATATCTGTTCTTCAATAGCCTGAACTCGGCTTTTCAAAGGTCGCCAACACAATTTTTCACTTTCACAAACAGCTTTAAGGACAACGAAACTATTCTCTTTGAGAGTGATGCAACAAGCGGAAACAGAGGATAATTAACATAGTTACGGAAAGTTAGATGTTTATAAATATACGAACCACATGGGCGATTAAACCCTATAATTGAT